CAACCATGTGGACGCCATGTTAAAATCATTTTCCCGCGAAACCCCGCCAATGTCCAAGAGGGTCAGGGGGCGGGGACCATAAAGCAAATTTATTGCATTTTTTGCATGCCAGTACAGTAAACAACGCCCATCCTTCCGCTAAACAACTTTTTCCTTTAATGATTAAAGGAGAAACTTTAATAAACCCCTGCTTTCTTTATTGTAAGTGAAATAGCTAAGTGACCTAATTCTCTTATTGTCCTCCATACTTATAGTACAAGATGATTGATGTCTCTCAATGGAGAGCAAGTATTGGACTGTGGAACTACTGTCAAGCTGCCTCCAGTAAACCAGCTAATGGCCGCCACTCTCACTCATTAAAAGCTGCAGTAGACAGCAAGTCAGGCAGTACTACATTAGGAGAGAAGACATCTAAACTGCCAGCAGCTCTGTCTCTAACTGGTAAACAAACTAACAGTATATAATATTATCATACAGTGTATTTACAATAGGTATAATTACTGTTACTGTTATGATCCACTGCCTCCAGTCATTAGTCTTGTTTATAGCTACTATTGGGAGTAGCTCTGACCTGATCTACTATTTGGTTTTACTTCTCCTCCTCCTCTTATCAGGAGATGTCGAACTCAATCCTGGTCCTGTAACAGGTAAAAATTTAAACTTCTACGTATCTCTTATTAGTATTATAGACAAAAAGCTTGATATGGCAGCAGTTACACAGATATTTGGTTCTTTTGATCATCATTACATGAAAATAGCGGCCGGATTAAATGTAAATGTGTCTGATCTGATGCCAATACCAGGAACAGCAAGTACCAATCTTGTGTTGGTATTCCAGAGGTGGTTTGATGCTGATAAAGATGTCAATTGGGATACATTAATAAAACTTTGTGATGACTTTCCTGATCAACTGGGCAAAGCAAAATCTAAACTTCTGGAATATATAGGTAAGTTTAATAAGCATAAACATTTTTTATCTGTTTTTTTGTAAATTAACATGATTTCAGTTGATGTATTGGTGGCTTAGATTGTTCGAAACAGTAATAAATATAAGAATTTATTTCTTTAGCATAATGGCAGAATAAAACTTTTGTATTATTGTAGTTCAAACATTATCATTTTTGTAATTAATAAACATTGACCCATGACTTCTCTCTTAGAAATATCATTATCAACAAGAAGATCAAATTCTGATGGTAAGCTACATGCAGGCATAACTATTTTTATTCCTTCTTAGGTGATGTCGAAATTATATTTTTTCCAAAAGAAGACCAAGAAGTTCAAGATTCTTTGAATGAATTACAAACGAAATTCTCTCACATCATGAGAAATGTAAAATCAATTTTTCGCAAAAAAGGAAATAAAAGTTCACAAATCGAAATGTCTAATTGGATTGAGGATCAGCTTCACTGGGAGCATGGTACAGTAGGTAGTGATTTAGATGATATTTTTAAGAAGATCTATCATTATTATGACTTCATTGACTGTAGTCTGATAGTTGCTATGTGTAATGAGTTCATAAGTGATGAAAAAGATCTACTTGATGAACTGAAGGCTTATTCATTAAAAGCTAATGTATTTCGTTCATCAAGACCAATTACTGAACTTAAACAAAAACTACGTAAAGTGTATGAACCTTATAGAAGAAATTTGGAGAATATGCCATTGATCTGTATAGAACTACAAAATCCATGGAATGACATTAAAATTAATGGATTATATATTCTTATTGAAAGATTAGTACCAAAAAGACTTAGACAGTCAATAATGAAATGCATCACTATTGAATCAGGATCTGTTGTCATCAAGTTACATATTCTTGACATTACAGCTGATAGTCTAATAGAATATACTGGAGGAAAGTTACAGTTTGTGTATCTCATTGGTATATTTAAATTATACATTAATGGTCATCCTGTCTTTCAAGGAAGTAAGAATATGAACTTCACCTTTGAACTAGCTCTCCTTGAGGCAGTCAAAGCTGGTAATAATGAAGCAGTAGAATTTCTTCTTCAACTAGAAACTGTTAATATTGATCATACTAATGAAGAAGGCAAGACAGCACTAATGTTAGCTTGTGAAAGAGGACATGAGGACATTGTACACAGTTTACTGTCTGCTGGAGCTAATGTTAACATTCAGAACAATAAAGGATGGACTGCACTAATGATAGCAAGTACAAATACATTAAAAGGATTAGTTGTTACTTATACAAAACCTGATCTCATTAAGTTAAATCAGTGGCTTGAACCACTTGTTGACTGGCAATTATTTGGCCTTCTCTTACCTGGAATAACACAATGGACTATTAAAGCAATTGAACAGCTAGAAGCTAAGCATCAAAAACTAGCTTTATTTACAAAATGGCTGAATACAAATCCTACAGCAACATGGAGAGATGTACTCAATGCATTGATTAAAAGAGAAGAGATCAATTTATTACAAACTATTAATGATCAGTTACAAGTACATCAATGTACAGGAGGTAATGATCATGTATTTATTTTAATAGTTATATTAAATGTATAATAGGTACTGCTGATGCTCCTACCAGTACTGTACCAGTAGTATCTACTGTATCATCATCAGTTTCTGTAATTAATAAACCTGTTACTAGTACTACATCAGGTAAACATGCACTTAATACAACACTCATTAACTGATACACTGCAGGTAATAGACCAAAGGAGATACTACAAAGCCATTCGTATAAATTAGTTCATGCTGTTAGTGTGAATCTATACAATGTAACTGATGCACTGTATGCTAAAGATCTGATACCACAACAAACTAAAGAGGACATGTATGTATTAGGAGTAACTAATAATGAGAAATCTAGTAAACTTGTGAATGTCATTGAGCAACAGTTGGAATCCTCTCTAAATCCAGAGCAGTATCTTATTGATATATGTCATGTATTAATAAACCAACAACATCGTACACTAACAGATATTGCTACTTCTATATTACACCAGTTAGGTGAGTGTGTGTGTGTACATTATTAGTGATCAATGTAATCAATACATTACTAGGTCAACCTATACCTGTTCAACCTTCTGAGCCTAAACCTGAGCTACCACCTGCTGCAGCAGCGGTATCAGAAGAAGTTGATGCATCAGCTGAAGTTGATGTATTCAATATTGATAGAAAACATATAAAAGGTAAAAAGACCACATGCACTGTATTATGTAGTTTCATATATTGTAACTACACTATTATTATCTCTCATAGAATTGATACAACGTCATGCTAAAGATAAAGAAAAGCGAAGTGGAGAAGTGAGTTCATAAAGCTCAGAGTATTATACAATAAATTGACTTTAAATTAGATACCAATAGGTGGCACTATCATTAAATGGACTAGAAAGAGTAAAATTATTAGATGGGAGTTGAAGTGGATGTGTATATGTGAAGATACACGAACTGGATTGAAAATAAAAGGTCCTCCTAAGCAAAGTCGTGATGGTGCATTGGAACATTGTCTTAAAGAGTTGTTTGAAGAACTTAAAAAGAAACAATAAACATATACTATTTATTTGTAGAATACAAATACATAGCTATATTTTGCACTGGTATATTTCTGTAATCCATAATCCACTGAAGGACATACAGTACATAAGCAACCCTTGATCCACTGTACATACCAATCAGCCCAGTCCCTAGTGTTGATATTGATACTGATACTGATATTAATAACACTCCTATTGATCCTAATGTTACATTACCCAGTGTCTATTGGGAGAGAGAATAATTAAGTTATACTGGTATACCATGTGCTATATACCACACACATACACTGATATTCATGTAATTGCTTGTTAAACTTACAGGGAAAGCTCTTATGGTTTCTGCTAGAAAACTACATGTGTGTGAAATGACCAAATTTAGTCATAACAGTAGAGTAGAGCAATACAAACAATCATTCTCCCATGATAATGATACATGAAACAATTATAGTTTTGTTACAGTACACTCACTTCTGTTGACTTGTTCACTAGTGACTGGAAAGAGGTACTACTTGGTATACTTCTTATAGCTTCATTATAAAGATGATTGATGTCTCTCAATGGAGAGCAAGTTAGTGGACTGTGGAACTACTGTCAAGCTGCTTCCAGTAGACCAGCTAATGGTTGCCACTCTCACTCATTCAAAGCTGCAGTAGACAGCAAGTCAGGCAGTACTACATCAGGAGAGAAGACATCTAAACTGCCAGCAGCTCTGTCTCTTATTGCTTTACTCCTCCTCCTCTTTCTCTCTTTATTGAGACACATCTTTATGATTCCTCCTCCTCCAACAGGTAAACAACAATTGCAAATTTGTACTTGTATATTCACTGTATTTTATTATTAGGTAACTGCTACCAAGTACAATGTACTACTGGTGTTACTGTTACTGATACAAATTACCTCCAGTCAGTAGTTTTACCTGAAGGCAGCAGTTCTAACCTGATTTACAATGATCTCTATTTGATTGTTTGTCTACTTATGCTCCTCCTCTTATCAGGAGATGTTGAACTCAATCCTGGTCCTATGATTAATGATCAACCAACTAGTGACTTATTTGTAGAGTATCTTGCACTGCTTACTGATTGGGAACTCTTTGCATTTCATCTTCCTGGAATAATGCAACAAGATATAGATGAAATTAAAACTAATCCAATTTCTTTAAAATGAAAGCTTTGCATGACAAATTTGCTAATTTTTCTTAATATGGCCATTGGCCATAACTCGAAAAAATGAAGTCGGAATCAGCTCAAACTTTCTACACAGCATAAATACATCAATATGCATCAGAAAATGTAATAAAATTTTGGGGTGATTTAGGAGTCATTTTTTGAAACAAACCAGTATTTTTCAAAAATTGGCCATTTAAAAATATGTTCATACTAAATGATGCTGTATACACAACATCATTCACATGATATTGCATATACAGATAAAATAGAATATTAAGGAAAGTTCATGATATTCAGTGTTAATTGTGCATTATAACAATATTCATTGTTATTGGTGTGTTCCAGTAACTATTTTCATTAGGTCCTATATACCACACACATACACTGATACACCCATCCTTTATACACTGGGACATGTAGCCTTGCTCTAGCTGACTTGCTGCTTGCTCCTTCATTGTTTGTTTTCTCTTCTTCCTTTTATAAAGTCCTTCTTTCTTTATTGTGGGTAAGCGATCACTGAAATAGCTACACCTTAAGTTACCTAATTCTCTCATTGTCCTCCATACTATAGTACAAGATGATTGATGTCCACTTCCAGCTGCCAATCTTGTTTAGTAGTAGCTATGTTTGTCTACGTATGCTCCTCCTCTTATCAGGAGATGTTGAACTCAATCCTGGTCCTATGATTGATGATCAACCAACTGGTGACTTATTTGCTAAATATCTGGAACCACTTGATGACTGGGAGCAATTTGCTCTTTGTCTTCCTGGTGGGATAACACAACTTGACATTGATATAATTAAAACTAAAGGAAACTCTTACCTCAGGATGGAGGCATTACATAAGAGATGGTTACAAGTTAATCCTACAGCATCATGGAGAGATGTCATTAATGCTTTGAAACAAAGTAAAGAGAATGAACTAGCTAGAACTATTGAAGACAAAGTGACTAATTCTGGTCCTATAACAGGTAAACATACACTTAGTACAACACTCATTAACTGATACACTACTGCAGGTAATCTAAAGGATATATTGAAGACTCATTGTGATAAATTAGCTCATGCTACTAGTGCAAATCTTTGTAATGTAACTGATGCACTGTATGCTAAAGACCTGATACCACAACAAACTAAAGAGGATATGCATGTAATGGGAATAGCTGACAATAAAAAGGCTAGCAACCTTGTGCATGTCATTGAAAATCAGTTGGAAGCTTCTCTTAATCCAGAGCAGTATCTTATTAATATATGTCATGTATTAATAAACCAAAAACATCGTGCACTAACAGATATCGCTACCTCTATATTACGTCAGTTAGGTGAGTGTGTTTGTACATTATCAGTGATCAATATTATATTTCAACACATTACTAGGTCAACCTATACCTATTCAGCCTACTGAGCCTAAACCTGAGCTACCACCTGCTGCAGCAGCGGTATCAGAGGAAGTTGATGCACCAGCTAAAGTTGATGTATTCAATATTGATATAAAAGGTAAAAGAATGACATTTACACCATATATTATGTAACTATATACTACTCTTATAATGTTTATCTTATATAGAATTGATAAAACGTCATGCTAGTGATAATGAAAATCGAAGTGGAGAAGTGAGTTTCATAAAATTCAGTGTATAAAACAATAAATTGACATTAAACTAGATACCAATAGGTGGCACTACTATTAAATGGAAAAGAGAGAAAAAATTTTCTGGATTTGAGTTGAAGTGGGTGTGTACATGTGAAGATACACAAACTGGATTGAAAATAAAAGGTCCTCGTAAGCAAAGTCGTGATGGTGCATTGGAGCATTGTCTTAGAGAGTTGTTTGATGAATTTAAAAAGAAACAATAAAGTATTGTAGCTCATTGTACTATTTCATCATGTTTTAGTAGTATAGTTTTTATATAATCCGCATTCATTATATTACCATCTCTTGCTATAAAAATCCAGCTGTAAGAGTAATAGACTGCATTGTTAATCAATTGTATGATTATGTTTTGATCTTATTATATTAATTATTGTTAGTGTTTATGATCAATTTCAGTATTATTTAATGGTGTGATTTTATAACTAGAGCATAACATGCAGTTAATCACCCATTTGAACAATTTGTTGATAACAGCAACTAGAGCAGATGATTGAGTAAGCAGAGTTGGATACTTTATCCACTCTGGCAGTAGAGGAACAGGATCTCAAACCTGAAGATCATAAATGGGAATTGTAAAATTAGATAAAGAAAATAGGAAGAGAGAGGAGTAGAAGAGTTTTATAGTTCAAATTGCTGAGATTAAATCTTGCAGTAATATTAATGTTGCTGAGGGTAGGCTAATGTCATAGTCCAGGCTAGCACAGTGGTGTAGTAGTAACATGTCATCAATAAGTTAAAAAGAGAGAGTGCATGAATACACAATGTCACATGATGTTGTGTACAGATAAAATCGAATATTAAGGAGATTTTATGATATTTAGTGTTATTGGTTTGCTCCAGTAACTATTTTCATGAGGTCCTATATACCACACACATACACTGATACACCCATCCTTTATACACTGGTGCATGTAGCCTTGCTCTAGCTGACTTGCTCCTTTATTGTTTGTTTCCTCTTTCTTTTATAAAGTCCTTTCTTTATTGTGGTGTAAGTGATCACTGAAATAACTACACCTTAAGTTACCTAATTCTCTCATTGTCCTCCATACTATAGTACAAGATGATTGGTATTCACTTCCAGTCATTAGTTCTATTTATTAGCCGTAGCTCTGACCTGATCTACTATTTGGTTTTACTTCTCCTCCTCCTCTTATCAGGAGATGTTGAACTTAATCCTGGTCCTATGATTGATGATAAACCAAACAGTCACTTATTTGCAAAATATCTAGAACCACTTAATGATTGGGAATTATTTGCCCTTTGTCTTCCTGGAATAACAAAAACTCATGTTAACACTATCGGTAAAAAGAAAAAAAATCCAGATTCCAAGAGCTTGAAAATAGCTTTACATCAGATATGGTTACAAGTTAATCCTACAGCATCATGGAGAGATGTCATTAATGCTTTGAAACAATGTAAAGAGAATGAACTAGCTGGAACTATTGAAGACAAAGTGACAAATCCTACTGATGAAGTTGTAACAGGTAAGCACACACTAAATACAGCACAATTGATACACAACACTGCAGATAATCTAAAGGATATATTGAGGACTCATTCTGATAAACTTACTCACAGTATTTCTACTGACTTTTCAAAAACAGCTAGTGCACTGTATGCTAAAAAACTGATACCAGAGAGTACTAAAGAGCACATATTTATACCAGGAATTAGTGATTTTGATAAAGCTGCTAAACTTGTGACTGTCATTGGGCACCAATTATCCTCTGATAATCCAGAGCAGTATCTCATTAATGTATGTCATGTATTAATGGACCAAAAAAATCCAGCCCTAACAAAAAATGCTAACTCTATATTACACCAGTTAGGTGAGTGTGTATGTACATTATCAGTGATCAATATAGTCATTATATCTCAATACATTAGGCCAGTCTATACCTGATAATGGCACAACAGCAGAGCACGGGACTATACCAGTTGCTGAAATAGGTAAGTTTTCATAAACAAGTACATAAAAGTTTATAACAAATGCAGAAAAATAAAGGAGGCTAAATAACGCATCCTAGCATGGCCTCACAAAAGGGTCAGGCTACACTGACTACTCTTCATGGCCTCATTTCTTTTACATGTACTTAATCTTTACCCTTTCATCCTTTTATTTTATTTATTGTATATACTGTACTTCTTATTTCATGATATAGTACAAGATGACTCAGTGAACAGAGTTGGGTATGTCTCCCATGAAATAGAGAAAAAGGATCTCAAGCCTGGTGATCATATCTATACTCATAGAACACTATACCTTCATAGTCATCACAGTATTTATGTTGGTGAACCTGATTGTGAAGTGATTCACTTCAGTGGTGATGCAACTGGGTCACTAAGAAATAAGGTCGGCTCACTTTGTCAAGTAAGAAAAACTACCCTTAGTGACGTTTGTGATGGCAATACACTCCGTTTGGTGGCATATAATTGCAGTGCATTTAAAAAAGCTGCTGTCTTAGTTAGATGTTCCTGTCATGTGATAAAAGCAATGCCTCCTTCAGAAACTGTTAAGGTCGCTAAACATTTTCTTTCTAATCCAAAGAAGTTTGGTGAATATGACATATCAAATAACAACAGTGAAACATTTGCCTGCTTCTGTAAAACAGGTCTGATGGATATTGGAACACAACTTCATCCACTTACTAGGAACCTGTTAACCGAGTGGTGGAAGGGAGCGCCATGCACTACATACAAAGAAGCAATGAAAAACTTCATTGAAAAACGAAATGCTAAAGCATAGCTTAGAACAAATTATAAATGTAGATAGGTGAAATTATAAAACTCTTTTCAATTTAGAATCATTAGTTATAGTTAGATATTATATACTTGCTATATACTGTATACATTGTATTACTGCTATTACAATATACACTGCTGCCATTCTAATACTTTATGCTGAATTAGTGTTTTGAAAAAATTATTAGGAGACTGTACATTACAAGATTATAATTATAATTATTATAATAATGTCTACAAGCAAACAGAGCTATCACACCCATTATAAGGGCTTCATCCAAACTCCAAAGTTATGCAATTTATGGTGTGGGCATCATAATAATTATAACAAAATTACAACATCATGGTATCATTATTAATGTCCATAACAAAAACAAAAGTAATACAACTACATGTACATAATAATAATAATAATAATAATAATAATAATAATAATAATAATAATAATAATAATATCTATACTAAAACACAGAGATATGGCTTTTTAATAAACAAAAATTTGAACAAAATGAATTAATAAATTAAAACAACAACAACAACACTTCTTTATCACTTCTATCTCTCTACAACCATAAACACAAACAATCAGTTACTTCTCAGTCTTTGGTGTGCTCTTCTTCCCATCACTACCTCCAGTGACTCCAGTGGTACTACGAGAGGTCTTAGTACTGGGTTTCTTAGATAACAGGTTATTAAAGAATGTCGCTAGTACTTCACCCCCGGACTGCTGGCCCCCTCCTCCTCCTCCCATTCCAGACATTAGGTTCTTAGGTACTCCTCCCTCCTGTCATGTGACAGTCATGTGATACATGTACATGTATGTGAGAGCTAAGGTATTGGTGCATGTACACATGATGATTGTGGTCACAAAGACATTGGGACATTATACTTATTATTTGGAGGGTTCACCAGGATGATAGGGACGGCATTTAGTATGTTAATCAGATTAGAATTATCCGCATCAGGGCTGATGTTGGGGAACGACCAATTATATAATGTGATTTACTAAGAACTTGCTAATTTTTAAAATGGTCATAAATTGAAAAATTGAAGTCGGAATCAGCTCAAACTTTCTACACAGCATAAGGACATCAATATGTATCAGAAAATGTAATAAAAATTTGAGGTGATTTTGGAGCCATTTTTTGGAAAAACTGTACATTTACACATAGTCCTATCAGGAAAGGAGAGTGGAATAATTAAGCTACATGTATACCTGTATACCTAGGTGCTACACACCACACATAAATCCTGATAACTCTGAAATGACCAAATTTAGTCAAAATACTGGAATGACAGTATAGTTGAGCAATAAAAACAATTATTCTCACATGAATGAAAATGATAATGATACATGAAACATAATTTAATTAGCTATAGACATAGTTAAGTTACAGTACACTCACCTCTATCATGTGTCTATTGTCCACTAGTGACTGGATAGAGGAGCTACTTGGTAGATTTCTTATAGCTTCATTACAAGATGATTGATGTCTCTCAATGGAGAGCAAGTATTGGACTGTGGAACTACTGTCAAGCTGCCTCCAGTAGACCAGCTAATGGCCGCCACTCTCACTCATTCAAAGCTGCAGTAGACAGCAAGTCAGGCAGTACTACATCAGGAGAGAAGACATCTAAACTGCCAGCAGCTCTGTCTCTTATTGCTTTACTCCTCCTCCTCTTTCTCTCTCTCTCTTTATTAAGACACATCTTGATGATTCCTCCAACAGGTAAACAACAATTGCAACTTTGTACTTGTACATTTACTGGTATTTTATTATTAGGTAACTGCTACCAAGTACAATGTACTACTGGTGTTACTGTTACTGATGCAAATTACCTCCAGTCAGTAGTCTTACCTGGAGGCAGCAGTTCTAACCTGATTTACAATGATCTCTATTTGATTGTTTGTCTACGTATGCTCCTCCTCTTATCAGGAGATGTTGAACTCAATCCTGGTCCTATGGTTGATGATCAACCAACTAGTGACTTATTCGTAGAGTATCTTGCACCGCTTGCTGATTGTGAACTATTTGCATTTCATCTTCCTGGAATAATACAACAAGATATAGATGAAATTAAAACTAATCTAATTTCTTACTTCAAGATGAAAGCTTTGCATGACAAATGGATAAAAGTTTATTCCAAAGCATCATGGAGAGAAGTGATTACTGCTTTGAAGGAATGTGAAGAGAATGAACTAGCTAAAAGCATTGAATTAAAAGTAGCAGATCCCACAGGAAGAGGTTTCTATGTAGTGATTCCCAGTAGTAATAATCCTATATCAAGTAAACATACACTTAATACAACACTCATTAACTGATACACTACTGCAGGTAATCTAGATGCCATAGTAAGGACTCATTCTGCTAAACTCGCTGGTGCTATTACTACTAACCTTTACAGAGTAACTGATGCACTGTATGCTGAAGGACTTATAACAATGGATACTAAAGAGAATATACAAACAGTAACAGGAATATCTGATTATAGGAAATCAAGTCAATTAGTGTCCATGATACAACAACATTTGGCATGCTCTCTTAATCCACCACAATATATAACTAAAATATGTATTGAATTAATAAACCAAAAGTGTGATCCACTAAAAGATATTGCTACCAAAATAGTAGACGAGTTAGGTGAGTCAAGCAACCACGTATAGCATAAAATAGTGTGTGATGATAGTCCCAAATGAAGCCTTAGTGCCAATAAAACTAACAGAAATGAATAGCATGTAAGTTTTCTAAAATGAAGCAAAAGTTATAATCAGTTAGTGTTCTTGCATCTATACACAGTTATGGCCCCCTCTAGACTGTTTCTTGTTCCAATACAATATTTTTCTTTTTACTTAATATTTCTTTTATAATAGTACAAGATGACTCCGTTAACAGAATAGGTTCCGTATCTTGTACACTAGCTAAAGAGGAGCTTAAGCCAGGTGATCACATACATGCACATATATCATCATTCCACACTCATCACGGTATTTACATTGGTGAGCCTAATTGTGATGTCATTTATTGCAGTCGAGATGACAAAGAATCAAAATCGAGTGGTCAAATACAAAAAACTACTCTGGATAAATTTCGTGATAAAAATAGACTCTGTTTAGTCGCATACAATTGCAGTACAGCATCAAAAATCTCTTCCTTAATTCACAGTTCTTCCTGTCACACAGAGAAGGCAATGCCTCTACCAGAAACCAGAAAGCTGGCTATACATTTTCTTAATCATCCAAAAGAATGGGGTGGATATGACTTTGGCAGTGAACCAAGTGAAGTATTTGCCTGCTTCTGTAAAACGGGTCTGATGAATATTGCAGCACAGTATCAGATCTCTCGATGGATACCAAGTTCAAGCTCACAAGAGGAACCGCCTGATACATATAAAGAAGCATTGGAGAAGTATCGTAAAATAAAACGCCAATTAGTAATTCATTAGATTAGTTTGATTAGTGATTATTAGGGACTAGTATATAGTGATTATTAGGGACTAGTATTATTAGTTTTGTTGCTATTATTCATTATTGTATAGGAAGTTGACTTTTGATAAGAAACATTTCAAATTTCTGTGGTCAAACCACAAAAATGTGGAATTATAGGTTAATAATAATGACTTACATGTATCACATCAATAATTTGTTTATGATTTTCTTTTATTTGGCGATTTTCAATTTTCATAAATAAAGCATTGACAATAAAATTTTGTTTAGTTAGGTAAATAATTTTTCCAATATCCCACACAAATAATGCTGGCACATATCGTGTATTAAAGTGGGTATGATCATAATTAGAAAATAAAACTGACATTATTATTTCATTTAAAGTTAACGTCCAGAACAAAAACAACAGCAAAACAACTACTTTAACAATAATAATAATAATAATAATAATAATATTAATAATAATAATAATAATAATATCAATTAAATAATAATAATATCTATACTAAAACACAGAGATATGGCTTTTTAATAAACAAAAATTTGAACAAAATGAATTAATAAATTAAAACAACAACAACAACAACAACACCTCTTTATCACTTCTATCCCTCTACAACCACAAACACAAACAATCAGTTACTTCTCAGTCTTTGGTGTGCTCTTCTTTCCATCACTCCCTCCAGTGACTCCAGTGGTACTACGAGAGGTCTTAGTACTGGGTTTCTTTGATAACAGGTTATTAAAGAATGTCGCTAGTACTTCACCCCCGGACTGCTGGCCCCCTCCTCCTCCTCCCATTCCAGACATTAGGTTCTTAGGTACTCCTCCCTCCTATCATGTGACAGTCATGTGATACATGTACATGTATGTGAGCTTAGTAAGGTATTGGTACATGTACTGTACTAAGAATTTGCCAATTTTTAAAATGGTCATAACTCATAACTTTAAAAATTGAAGTCGGAATCAGCTCAAACTTTCTATACAGCATAAGTACATCAATATGTATCAGAAAATGTAATAAAAATTTGGGGTGATTTTGTAGCCATTTTTTGAAAAAAAAACCATGGGCTATAGCCTTGGGTATTTTTCAAAAATTGGCTGTTTTTAAAAAATGGTCGTAACTTGAAAAACTGAAGTCAGAATCAGCTCAAACTTTCTACACAGCATAAGGACATCAATATGTATCAGAAAATGTAATAAACATTTGGGGTGATTTTGGAGCCATTTTTTGAAAAAAACCATGGGCTATAGCCTTGGGTACTTTTCAAAAATTGGCTGTTTTTAAAAAATGATCGTAACTTGAAAAACTGAAGTCGGAATCAGCTCAAACTTTCTACAGAGCATAAGGACATCAATATGTATCAGAAAATGTAATAAAAATTTGGGATGATTTCAGAGCCATTTTTTGAAAAAATTAAACCATGGGCTATAATAGCCTTGGGTATTTTTCAAAAATTGGCCGATTTCTTAAAATGGCCATAACTTAAAAAATTAAAGTCAGAATCAACTTAAACTTTCTAGATAGCATAAGGACATCAATATGTATCAGAAAATGTAATAAAAATTTGGGGTGATTTCGGAGCCATTTTTGAAAAAAACCACGGGCTATAATTTAAAAAAATTGGCCATTTTTAAAAGACGGTCATAGTTTTAAAAATTTAAGTTCTAATCACCTCAAACTTTCCACACAGCACAAGGACAATATTTATCAGAAAATGTAAATTTTGGAGCCATTTAATGGGAAAAACCATGGGCTATAGCCTTGGATATTTTCTGAAAATCGGCCATATTTTAATACATGAATACTGTATGTGTATTATATTACCTGATCTTGTGCTGATAGTGGAGTGTGCTGTAGTCTTGGTGACTTATCCTTACCTGAGCCCTAGAAATAATTAAATATTCATTAATAGGTGTGGTCTAATAAACTAATTAACAACATGACTTAAATATAATTATTAGACTAAGTGGAGGCTAATTAATTACATTATATATTCATAGCCTCATGAATATCATTATTATTAATAAACAATTTTGCTTTAGACACACACATACAATGATAGTAAAACTCAAAGATATAATAATAATAATATTCATAGTAACAATAATATTATTTTAATATTTATAATAATACACTTTCACACTAATATAAAGTAATTTATATTCATGCATACACATGTATATGTACATGTACAGACTAGCCTCTATATAATGGACACTTTGAAAGTGTCTCTGTTATACAGAGGTGTCCTTTATGTGGAGGTTATTCTATACAGTAAGGAATGTAATTGGTACACTTGGTGCTGTCCGTTTAATGGAGGTGTACGCTATAGAGAGTGTCCATTAAGAGAGACTATACTGTATACATGTACATGTGACGTAATGTGTATATACTGGTAGCTTGGGAATCAAAATTCACAATAATTGTGATCTTCATCATCATGAAACAGTCACTACCATAGCAACATAGGAAAGACAAGACTAAAGGCGGAAGACAGTCCATGACAAGTTGGTGACTTATAATAAACAAATAATTAAATCATATTCTAATCTAAAGACATGACAACGCTTACATGTACTAATAATGTAGCCTAAGGACACGAATCATTAACTGATTGACGTAACTGCCTGATCACTTTACTTTGATGTAAGATGATATTGTAGCGAGTTACTATCATCAACAAAGTATTAGGAGCCGTTCACAGGAGTATCACAAAGGGAGACACAGAAAAATGCTTTTAAATTTATTATACTATAATATTAGTATACATGTACATGTACATATACTGTATTGTGTGTATAAACTATATTGATAATGCTATGATGATTATTTCTTAAAGTAATTTGAAGTGCAGTAGACCATAATAATAGTAGTGCTTTTAAATGATAGTAATAACGATGAGACATTGATCTTATACACGTGTACATAATATATATTATATTACTAATACTAACATGTATTACAGTACCTACATGTACATGTACATGTATGTTAAATGTACATGTACATGTAATAGGATACATATACAATATACTAATTAATGCTCTTTAATCTCAATACTGTATAGTATAAAGCTTTATAATATAATACATGTATATTTTTACCTGTCAATTTTTACCTCAGGCACAATTATATGTACATGTACATGGTATATGTATTATTATTATTATACATTACATGTTCTTTATATTACATCTAAAAAAATTGTACATGCTAAAGTACATGTACATGTACACACACATGTATTGTTTCATGTCTCATTCATTCATTAGCTACAATACATGTACATGTACACATGTGATTCTACAGACATGTATACACCTAATGATATTAGTATGTATATAGTGGCATTCTTGTCCTGAGTGAAACAGATCAAAGTGAAGCTAAATCAATTAATACATCCTGTAAACCAGAGGAGTGTTAAATTAGTAACGTCTGAGGTAAATACTGTTACTATGGTGATGGGATTAATAGGGTAAATATTAGGAATGGACCAATTATGGTAGGATAATGAAGAATAATATAAAGACAAGATATTATAATTAAAATAAAATAGATATACATGTATATTGGTAAATACATATACAGACTAGCCTCTATATAATGGACACTTTGAAAGTGTCTCTGTTATACAGAGGTGTCCTTTATGTGGAGGTTATTTTATACAGTAAGGAATGTAATTGGTACACTAGGTGCTGTCCATTAAATGGAGGTGTATGCTATAGAGAGTGTCCATTAAGAGAGACTATATTATAGACATATTTGGCCAAATAAGTCAGAATTTTCATGTGTCATTAAGCATTACAAGAATGAAACAAAATGGAATTACATGTACATCATGTTGACAGTTTCTTCAGAGAAAAACACATATCTGCCAGCTAGGGTTAGTTCCCAGCCAACATTTCATGAGAAGCAATGCTAGCGTGTTATATGTACCGTAAAATTTCCCATGCACATCTTAACAAGCAAATGTACGTGTAGTCACGTACATGTACATGTACATGTACATGTATGCGTGCCAACTATCTATCAATTATGAGACTAGTAATAGTATACTAGTTGTACTCACTGAAGTGGGAGTGGATTGTGGCCTTGGGGATTTAGCAATATGGGCCTAAGGGGAGAGAGAGGGAGAGGGGGGAGAGAGGGAGAGAGAGACAGAGAGGGAGAAAGAGAGAGAGGGAGAAAGAGAGAGAGGAAGAGAGAAGGAGAGAGAGAGAGAGGGAGGAAGGGAGAGGGAGGGGAGAGAGAGAGGGAGTGAATGAAAGAATAGAGGTGTAAGAAAGTAATCAAGAGAAAGAAAGAAAAGGATATTAATAGTAGCAGTACATACACTACTGTACATTAGTATAGTATGAGGACAAACAATAAGCAAGAGAGACAGAGTGTCAGAGATTAAAGAGGCTAGACGGTGAGAATTAGTAAATGTTAGACACTATTATTCATTCCAAGTCACGGACACAATAAATTATAATAATTACAATTAATTAAACCATTATATCATACACTACCTGTACACCATAATGCACAATTGTGGTTAGAGCAATTAAGGTTCAAGTACATCTGGTCATGTACATGTACATATTAAGCAAAAATAATTTTTCTAGTCTGAGACTGTAGCCAGGTGTGCTGAAATGCCTTCAGTTATTATTGTTTTCGTGAAATTGTTATTTTATAAATTACGTGTACATGTACATGAATAATTAATTCCAGCACATTAATGACACATATTTTAAGCTACAGCACATCNCGTATTGCCTTCTCTCTCCCTCTCTCTCTGTCTCTGTCACTGTCTTTCTCTGTCTCTCTCTCTGTCTCTCTCTCTGTCTCTCTCTCTCTCCCCCCTCTCTCTCTCTCTCCCCCTCTCTCTCTCTCCCTCCCTCTCTCTCTCTCCCCCCTCCCTCTCTCTCTCTCCCTACTCTACCTGTTGTGCTAGCAGTAACACTTGATCATCTTCCGAACTGATGTTCTCACTTTGCTGTGACGTCTAATAATTAAAATAAATAATAATTTTAAAATTGCTCAAAAACTGGGCCAAAGTCCCTGTACTATTATAGTGCAGGGTCACAAGCCAAATTTCGCCAAAAATAAAAAGTTGGCAATTCTCCATTTTTTTCTCGTACATATATGTTGCATAGAAAGTTTGAACTGATTGTGATTAAAATTAAATTTTTTACAAATTTTTAAAATTGCTCTAAAATTGGGTCAAAGTCCCTGTACTATATAGTAAAGGGTATTCTCACATCTTCTATGATAAATGTACTTGACATGTTTACAATAAAATAAGAACAACATTACAAACGACAAACAATAAACAACACATCATTATTAAAGTAATTCCCATTCTCAGTTACTTAATACCAATAACACCTCGTTTCCAAGGCAACCCAAAGCTTTCAATTCCCACCTGATCCATCAAACGGAAAACAATACATAATGAATATCATTAAAACTAATTAATAGCTCGTGAATATTATTAAGAGCTAAAACTGAGAAGAAACTTAAACAGTAAAGAATGAATGGAATACAATGGAGTAAAGTTCAAAACAAGATATTATGTTATACTTTATAGTAATCACAATACATTAACCTTTACAATAACAATGTATAGTGTAGCCTCTTTATTAAGGACACCATTGGGCCCACACTACCTGTCCTTAATACATGTACAGTGTAGCCTCTTTATTAAGGACACCATTGGGCCCACACTACCTGTCCTTAATACATGTACAGTGTAGCCTCTTTATTAAGGACACCATTGGGCCCACACTACCTGTCCTTAATACATGTACAGTGTAGCCTCTTTATTAAGGACACCATTGGGCCCACACTACCTGTCCTTAATACAGAGGTGTCCTCATTTCAGAGGTACTTTTGTATAGGCTTGTACCAATTGGGACATTACAAAACGCCCTCATTATAAAGGTGTCCTCATTATAAAGACAATGTATTTGTGTCTGTTATGGTATGAAATTCTACAACTGAACTAAGTTGACATGCCAGGTAGTTATAATGATAACAATAACAAGAAAGACACTGACTGATCTGATTAATAAACCAATTACTGTACACAATGACAGTGTGTGTGTTAGTGTGTGGTCTATGGGATATGGTGCACCCCATCAGGACCAATTGACCTTACTGAACCTAGTGTACATGTACATGTGAATGTACATGAATTCTGAGCAATAAAAAAGGTGAGTAGACATACAGTGACAAATGTGTACTATATTTCATAGTAACCTTCTCTCACTCACTCACTCTCAATAACTTAAGAATTCAATTATCACTACTGGTACATGTACATGTACATCATTGGCCCAAATCAACCGTGTACTAAAAAGACAAAATTAATATCAAAACAACACATACACTGTACATACATGTACATGTACATACTAATAGTCAAAATGGTACTAATTAAGACAGAAAAATTGAGATACAAAGTATTATCAAGTGAATAAGATATTGAAGAAAGAAAGACAAAAAGGAGATTTGCTGCTACAATGGCTTACAGTGGTGGTGAGTGGTGGTGATTTTATGATATTATTGAGCGGCTCTCTTGGATTGAAGTGTTTTATTTGTTCGCAAAGTACAGCAATTCTCTTACTACTGTCCCACCCTGCAGGACTAGGAGAGAGAGAGAGAGAGAGGAGATGAATCTATGCATTACTAATAAATGTAACACATAAATATAATATTAGTACACTATACTGTGTCTGGAGGTGAGTATCAGTAATGTAATACCTGAGTCCCTTGATATCTGCCCTCAGCTTCACCTCAAGCAGATATCTCAGTCCTCAGGTATTATACAATATTGCAATCACCATTATTATTACATACTTAAGCTATAGCATTTAATATTACCACAATTACATGTACATGTACTTACATGAAAACAGCATCTCTCTCTACAGTGTAAGCTGGTACTTTAAACTTGAGCCCGTATGCTTTATGTATCAGATACTTGTGAAGAATATCAATGTTCTTATTGTCCTTTGTTGATACATAGACCAGAGCAGCACCATCTGTTAAGAGGAAGAGAGAGAGGCAATTAATATACATGTACATGCAATTTTATGAGTAATAATGCATTAAAAATTGGAGGTGTTTTTTGTAGCCATTTTTCTGGAAAAAGCATGGGCTATAGTACAGACTAGCCTAGTGAATACTTTAAAAGTGTCTGTTATACAGAGGTGTCCTTTATGTGGAGGTTATTTTATACAGTAAGGAATGTAATTGGTACACTAGGTGCTGTCCGTTAAATGGAGGTGTACGCTATAGAAAGTGTCCATTAAGAGAGGCTATACTGTACATATAATTTAAAAGCCTTTCACGAATAAAAGAAAAAGGGTAACTAGTACATTTCCTGCTACACATTGGCACATGGCGTGAGATATGAGCCATCCCTGCTCACTCCATTGGCAGTATCACAGACTGTTAATAGTAACTGTATTCATATACTAAGACAAATTTCTATGAGACATGCACATGTTTTTTATCACATGTACATGTTTCTGTCACGTGTACACATTCAAACAAAGCCACCATTGTCCTCACTAGGCCAGTATCTATAAAAGTAGCTGAAGGATATCGTATAACATCAGTACATCATAAAGAGATAAAGAAAGATACTACTACTATCAAACTGAAGATGACTTCATTCCAGCGTATGGTCCTTGTTGCAGCTGTAGCCTTCATGATTACTGCTCATGTCACTGATGGTATAAGTGAATGCCTGTGCTTCACTGATCCAGAGTGTGATAGTGATCCAGTGTCAATAGTCCCATACGTAAGCTAAAACAATACATTCTATTCCTAATGCAGTATGTACATGTATATGTACAACCGGCTCATTTGTGGCCACAAAATTATCTTTCTAAAAAAATATTCATTTCAATCTACTTTTGTGACTTACTGAAATTTTTTATCATACAATATTACAAATAATATTGTTATTATATAATTTTTTAGCCTGAAACAATGTGCTGTAGAGGCAATGCCAATGGATCTTATGCCTGCAGATATGGAGGTGAGGAGCTTATTTGCAAGAAATGCAAAAGCTCCTGAAGAAGCAAGATAATAATATTAATAATAATAATAATAATAATAATAATAATAATACTAATAATATTAATAATAACAGTTAAATACTAAATACTATTAATACTTTAATTATAAATTATTGTTACATGTACATGTATCTACATATCCAGTTTATTATTATTATTATCACTATTATTGCCTCATTGATTATTATTGCTATTAATTAAATCAATAAAATTTAAGGAAATCAATTTTTGAGTCATTTTGAACCATTAGCTGCGAGCTCAACAAGACTTCAAATGAAAAAATTAGATATTCCCTCCTCAACTACCCATTACTACACAGGAAGTGTATCTTAACTGATACAAGAAATACTGATACATAACTACATACAGACTAGCCTCTATATAATGGACACTTTGGATCAAGAAAGTGTCTCTGTTATACAGAGGTGTCCTTTATGTGGAGGTTATTTTATACAGTAAGGAATGTAATTGGTACACTAGGTGCTGTCCGTTAAATGGAGGTGTACGCTATAGAGAGCGTCCATTAAGAGAGACTATATACTGTAGTCTAGTGATTTAAGTGGGAGTTATAATAAGGAATGATGGAAAGGAAATTCCACTAGTAGCAGCCAGTAACAACAGAATGAATGAGGGAAGAGGACACAATATGAACTTATGACATCATAATGACACTCATCATACCACACACACACACAGGGAAAATGTGTACATGTACATACATGTACATGTACATTAATAAAAAACCTACACAGTTACTGTAGCTACATGCATATGTACATTAAATTGATGTACATGTACATCTACATATATGTACATGTACATCTACATATATGTACATGTACATGCTTAATAAAATTCTTATGTAAATGTACATGAATCTAAGTAATATTTGCATGAAGAATTAAGATCACACACATACTGACTGTAGCTGACAAATTAAAGTTTTATTATAATAATTTATCGCTGGAGGACACGATAGTAAATATCACAACAATAGGATTAGATCAGATAAAATAATAACAATTATTATGTATGTGTATGTACATGTATAATTATAGTAATGCTTGTACTATATGAATTATGAACATGTTGATGCATAGATTTTAAAATTGATTTTAATTGCTGCTCTCACTCCCTCGCACTCTCTCTTACTCTCTCATAAAATTGAATTTTTAATTTTAAAGCTTGTACTATAGCCCATGGATTTTATGAAAAATCTCTGACAGAGGAATTTTGCATTTATCAATTTTTTGATACATATACATGTCCTTATATTGCGTAGAAAGTTTGAGCTGATTCCAATCAAAACTGGATTTTTTACAAATTTTTAAAATTACAAAAACCGAACAAAACCCCATGCATGGCTGCTCTCTCTCTCTTAATTAATAAAAGTTATAATGATATTCATAGTATTAATAGCCCCACTGTAGGAGTAGAGGTGTCAGTGGAGATTACTTGTAGATCAATAAACTGAATTATTAGATACTAGATTGAGCTGGTATGTAATCACTGACCTCTCCCTATGCTATACTAACAACCTTTAACACACACTCCCTCTCTCTCTCTTTATTCTTTTAAAGAATTCATGATTCATATCTGAATATTATTATAGATACCAGGGCCTGATGTGTGTGTACATTATAAATGTATCCTTTTAGCTATATCAGTAGCAAGTAGAAGGATATTCAAATGTACATACAACTTATGCACACACATATACCAAGAGTGGATAATACTGATTCAGTGGTTCAGCTAGGCTATACATGTGGGCTCCTATCAAATGCTTTTAATTGTACTATAGCCCCCAGGGCTTATGATTGATCCAGACAGGCTTCTATTAGGGAGTGCTTCTATTCATAAATATGTATGTACATTGTACATACTTTTTCTCTCATACACTGTACATTAGTATTTAAAGTTATGACTGGCTCTCTCTCCCTCTCTCTCTCTCTCTCTCTCTCTCTCTCTCTCTCTCTCTTACAGTTTAAACAGAATTTCCTGATGTGCTGCTGAAGGAAGTCAAAGTGTTCATCCTGATACTTCTCATTCTTCTCCAACTGAACAAAACAATCCGACTAGAATAAAAAACAAAGAATAAAATAAATAAAAAATGCGTATAGAAAATAGAGATACATGTACATGTACATGTACGCATGTACAGTATATGTAAATGTATTGTGCATGTACCTTAGCACAGACAACCACCAGTTGTATCCCTAGGTTACAGGACAGGGTGTGTTCTTCAAGAGGAAGAGAAACGTCTTCATCATCTTTGAGACTAGAGGAACCTTGAACTTCTGGATCAACGTAAGACTGGAAGGATTTAACCACTAATGGAGGAAAGAGAGAGGGGGAGAGACAGAGGGAGAGACAGAGACAGAGAGAGAGAGGGAGACAGAGAGAAAATTAAAAAGTTAAACCAAAGAACAGACAAATGTGTATACTACAATGCTCCATGCATAAAGGACATTAGAGAGGGAGAGAGAAAGTGAGGGAGGGGGAGAAAAAGAATGAGGGTTTGGTAGAGTAGGTGTGAAAGAGAGAGAGAGAGAGGGATGGATGGAGAGTAGTAGGAGGAATAAGAATGACACACTACACTGTACAGTCCACAAAATGGAGTGGAGTACATACTGTATGTAGACCACAAAGATACAGCAATTAATATCATATTACAAGATAACCACAGAATCACTTAGACACACCATAAAGGACACATACCATATACAAAGACTAAACACACACTATGTACAT